TAAAGAAGAACTCTATTCAACAGGAGACAGGGAACAATGAACAAGGAAATGTGAGGGTGGTGGATAATGTATGCCAACCAAAGGAAGGGCTGGAGGAAATCAGAGGAGAAAATTTAGGAGTTTTAATTCTAAGGGAAGATAAGGGGAGAAAATCAGCAGAATTAATTTAAAATAGCCTGGAAGATCTATTGGAGATAGATCAAGTGTATAAAATGTTTTCAGATGATACAAGGGCTGGCACAATGTTTAGAGAACTAACTTCTGGAATTGTTAAGGGGCGTATCTTATATATTTAAAAAGGGAATTTAACTGAAATAAGGGATTACTAATCAGGGTAAAGACATAACACAGTGGTTTTTAAGGTAAATTGAAGCTAGATACAAGGATGGGGCAAAACAAATAGTACTTAATGAATATACTGTACATTACATATGATATTGATATAGACATGATAGAAAATGTGGAGATAGAAATGGCTAAACAATTATATAAAGAAAATCTGTATAAAATGCTTTAGATAACATATATTATGTATTAGGAACCTACTCAGTTATTATTGGTATAAAATACAAAGTTTGTCGGTTAAATCACCTCAAAATTATATAGATTTAGAATCAGAATTACTTTTATTAGGTATGTTATTAAAGGATTTTGAGAACATTGTATACTATGAGAGCAATACTATGATAGTAGCCAATATTGTACACTAAAATACACATATGAACAGTTTAAATGTTTAAAAAATGTATAGATTTTGAAGAGACAACTAATAAGACACTAAGACACAAAAAAACAAATAATTATAAGCAACCCGTGTAACACAATGTTTAACAAGCACGAACTGTGAATGTAGATAGATTGAAAAACTAATAAAATGTTACCAGAAACGAATTTCTACCTATCTCATATTATCTGCTTTAATATCCTTCCATGTTGGTCTGGTACACTCAGCGTTTTATTACAGTGAAGCAGCTATCATTGAGTAGTGTTGCCCAATACTGAACAGGATATGAAATTATACCAGCATAAATTCTCAATATAAAAAGCCAGTTCCTAACTTCATCGATATCACACTATTATTGTAAGCATGCCTTTGATATGCAAATCACCCCTTTGACAAGCTTTCCTATAGAAGCTATACTATCTAGTGCACCACCAAAGCTCAACATTTCACAGCAATTGTACACTTTTTTTCCTAAACCACCAAATTTGCATCATTTACATAATGATCATCTGCAAGTACTGGGGTATGTGTTATTACTACACATATGTGTGTATGTGCAACTCATTGAGGCTGGGAGAACACAGAGTGACCGATAACAATGTTTCTTAAGAGCGTGATGATGCCAATTCTTGATGCTGTCCCTGCCACCCAAGTTCAGTGAAACTTACTCTTTATCAAGCACACAAAAGATTGCAGTCTTAATACACATGTTGGGAAGTAAGGAAGCTGCTAGAAAAGGTTTTTATACAATTTTACAGGAGAGTCAGGCATTTATCACCTTCTGTTTGAAACCCTCTTTTGTTTCCACACCTATTATTTCCTAATTTTTTTCTTTCCACAAAAAATCCATTAAGGAGGAAAAGATAGAAGAGTTGCACATTTTTTTTCTGGTAGTACCAGGAGGGAGCATCCATTTGGAAGTTCCCTATATCCTACTGAATATAATAGTGATGACTTTTGAGCTTGTGCACAATTGAGTTGCTTGACTTTGCTGGGAACAAGACTCAGGTGGACATTGTCCCTGACTTTGCTACCTCGATATTTAATTTGGTATATATGCAGGGAATATGCTCTAGCACTCAGCTGTGATCTCTTCCTCAACATATGGAACACTTCACAAATATGCTGCTAACTGTCTTTGTATCATCACACTGCTTTTAGCATATGTGTTGCCACAACAAGAATACCCTTGAAACGCTGCAGCAGAAGATAGAAAAGGTTAAGAATAGTATGTTTTCCCCTTTTGATATCTACTCATTTTGTCACCTAGCATCTTTTCGAATGGAGAAACATAGAGGATTTTTGTTTCGTTGTGAATGAAACCCATTCACAGCAGGATAATTGGTGTTCCCAGTATTTTCTGACAAGATAATAAGAGTCTGATTAATCTTGCCTGCTTATTTACTCTTAGAGTGAGTTTATAATTGTATGTGTTCATCTACGTGACAAGAAAGGTACGTCTCCAGTTTACTATGAACACTTCATGTTCTATCTGGCACATTCATGTTAACTCTGAATTCATGTCAACAAAACGATGTAGCTCTTTTTGTTACTACTGTACTACGGATGTGTACCAGAAATATATATTTTCAGCCCTTGACAGATGGGTTGGCAACATGCAGTCTGTGGACTGCATCTAGCCCCCCAGGACCATGTTGTGGCCCCAGATTTCTTGAGGGGGCCCATCCCTTCCTTTTTTTATGATTGGGGAAAACCCTCAAGGAGTTCCTTTGGTTAAATTTTAAGATGTTCCTGGAGCTACCTCATATCCCTCTATAGGCAAAAGGGTCTTTTAACTTATCTCTGAACAAGCCTTTTTGCCTATGCTCCTTGCCTCTAGCCCACCTGCTTGAGATGCAAACCTCAGGCCAATCTGAAAAACATTTCTCAGTTTTGCTAAGATTACCTACATATGCCTTAGAGCAGCCATTCTCAATGGGGGCCATATGGGGGCGTTGGCACATTTGAAGGGGGTCAGAGACTGGAAGCAATTCTTCTCACACCACCTGACAAGGTTCGATATACAATTTATATAATCCTGATTCAGCCTATATTTCTTTCATACTGTGTTTATTTATGGTTGTGGCCAAACATAAAAGGTCAAGATTGGCTGCCATAGAGTCATAGCACACAGAGGGAGATTATTCTTGGACCAAAGCAAATTCAGTTGAACAAGATGGCAAGCAACCTTGGAATCAGAGGTATATAATTTACTTTAAAATTTCCAGAAGGGGGGAAAAAACCATTTGGGTTACAGGAAAAATTAATGTGAATAATCAAGAATATTCAAATTGCAGACTCCTCCCATCGTCATTCAAAACATAGGCACATTAATGCTCCATTCTTGTTCCATCACTCCTACCCCAACATTATCCCACCAGTCATCCAGCTCCCAATGTATTACTACTAGTATAAAAGACCCAAAATGAGGCAAAGGCTTCGATGCTGTAAACATCTACCAAACTCAGATTTGCACTGTTCTTACTGTGGCTGGTATTCAGGTGCCTAAAAACAGAGCAGAAGAAAATTCACATAAACATCCCTCTGCTCCATCAGGTTCCTCATCACAGGACTGTTCTTTCACTTACTGTACTATGGTATTTGTCCCCAAACTGGTCTGACAACAGGAAGCCTGGTCGACTGGAAAGAGGACACTTATGAGATTTCCCTTCTAATGTCCATAATCTGCTATAATCTGTACTGGTCTAATCCAATTGATCTGAAGTTGAGAGAATGAAGTCTGTTTGTGTTTAATGGGCCTAGTACTAGTTAAGTTTTTTTTTCTTTTTGGAAGATCAACAGAATGGTTCGTGTCAACAGTACTGTACTTTGGACTCACTGGACAAAGCACACCATCTTCTTTGAATCTACTTCAAGCTGGGATCTCTAAGGAAACCACATCTCATCACAAAGGAGAGGGAATTGCCATTTAAGATTGTCTCTCAGAGATATAGATCTGGTATATCACAAAATGTTATTCATAAATCTGTTCCCATTAGGGTGTTAGTGTGCTGCTAAATGGCTTCCCTGGGAAACACACTGCAGGATCAGGTATGTTCAGCTACAAACTGGTACTACCCCAAGGAGGGAGCTTAGAAAATCGCATTTTTGTTCCATAATTACTACTCTACACTTGGATAAAAGGCCCAAGTAGAGATATCAGGGTTTCAGAAAACTGCAGGATTGCAAGGCAGAACTACAGAATCAGTGAATAATAGCCATAATTAAAAGGCTGCCAACAAGAAAAGGAAAAAAAAACATAGTCTCCGCCATTCATTTCTGTGGGGAAGAGAACATGGAAACCTGCCACCAACCATAACTACACGTTGGCTGGAGCCACCATAGAAGTAGAAACATTAATATGTAGATCTTTTTCAGAAATAAAAGATTCAGGCCAGACAGGCAAAGCCAAGAGGCTGGGAGACAAAGAATGTTGAAAGTGAGTGGCAGTTCCCAGACAAAAAAAGGACAAAGGCAGTTTGGGTTAAAGAGAGATGTTAGGGAAGAAATAGACCAGTTGCATAGGAGTGGTTGCATAAAGAAAGATGGGGTGGAGGGACAGAAAAGAGAAAATAAGTGAAGCATGGGATAACAAGGATATTATAACAGAGTTAATATGTGACAATGCATAGCATGATGGGATATCATGCTAAACATTATCACATATTGTCTGTACTTAAACATATTATATTAAAGACTTTTGTGTCCTACTAGCTGCCTATATAATTCCAACTATAGTTATTTGACTATTTTGTAATAAAATTACCACACTTGGCTTTCAGGTTATAGAACGGATCCAGTTACTGTATATATAGGGTCCCATTTTTCAGTTGCTTCTTGGATTAAATTGTCATTTGACCAGATAGGCGGGATATAAATACAATAAATAAATAAATAAAGCTTCTGCTAATATGCCCATCTCCACCACTTCCAAAATCTTTTCCACAAGTTCTTCACGATTTGGTATGCTGGTTTTCTTCCATTTCCATGCATATAGTATTCTGGCTACAGTTATATGTATCACCAAATGGCTCTCTTCTATCTAAACTCTCTGGTAACATTTTTAATAAGAATAATTCTGGTTTAAATAGTATATTACATAGCAGAATTTTCTGTAAACATTCATAGTATCCAATAATTTTTTGCTTCACTACATGTCCACCACGTATGATACAAGGTTCCTTCTTGTAATTTACATTTCCGACATATATTTGATGTACCTTTATGCACTTTTGACAATGTGAAGCAGAGGTTTTTAGAGGCATTACAGGCTCACCTTTGTTTTTTCCTGTTTCCCTTGAATGGTTAACAAACACCTGTGTTTCAGATTTTTTTTTTTTCCTCTTCTCTATTCCATCCAAAGTCATGGGGGACAGACATCCTGGTTCTGAGATAATAGAATGACTCTTGTCAACAAACAGCAAGAGAAAAGGCACCACCGGATGGGAGGCACATACGGAGCAGCATTTCAACACTGTGCATGTTGCCTTTGTTTCCCTTCCAAAATCTACCTTTCTGATTGGCTTAGAAATATCTTTTGTCAAAATAAATGAAACATTGACAAATTTCAAAATGTGCTGAAGGCTTCACCCAAATTGCAGGTTAGCTATCAAAAACTAGGGGTTTGTCATTTGTCCAAGAATTCCACACACTGAATTCTGGGAATTCTTGTCCACAGGCACACACCTCCATTTCCCTCACCTGCAATAAATCCTGTCTTCCAGGCTGTCCCCAGCCTACCTCGTATATAAAAAAGAAACTGCCCCAATGCTTTCTAGGAAGCCTAGATCTTTGTGGGAGGTATCGTGCTTTGGAGATGATCACAGAGCCCAATGGCAACAAGACTGCACAGCATTATTATGACATCACAACCCTAGCAAAAAGGGGAGGGGACATTAAGTGTAGCCTTCATGAACTTGGTACCACAGTATTTAGCCAACTTAAAAGAAATCCCACAGGAAACAGTATCGTACAAACAGTGAATAAATATGAAGAAAGCATAGAAAACTTGTATGAAGAACTCGCATTACAAAGCAGAGGAAAAGGCAGCCCCAACATTTTGTAACAGGAACTTCAGTACTAAGGTAAGGAAAGGCACCTGTGGAGATTTTATTGGAAAATATGGACTAGAAAAATGAAATTAATGTGGGAAACATACAGTACGAGATAATTTTTAAAAAAGAATTTGTAATCACAATCTGATATTCGGATTATCACCAAAGAGCTGTTTGTTACAAGCAGGCAAAGTCCTTTCTCTTCAGACAAGGTTTCCCTCAGTAACCAGCTACCTGTGTGTGATTTTTAGATAATTTTTTTCATTACTGCTTTGATTGGATTGTTAGCACGACTTGTGTTTTCCTCTCAAAGTGACATTTTTAAAAAACTTTGTATACTTATTGATCTTTGCCTTAATATTGCCTGTTAATTGACGTAAGATGCCTCCTTATTCATTATTCATAATTTTTAAATATCGCTTTTTAATGATGTTAACCAACATTATATACTCAGTGTTTTCAACCTTAATATTGTATTTCATTGTTGTAAGCTGCTTTGGGGTGGGGTAAAAATATTTAAAATAAATTAATGAACACTAACAGCATAATTTTTAAATATCGCTTTTTAATGATGTTAACCAACATTATATACTCAGTGTTTTCAACCTTAAATATTGTATTTCATTGTTGAAAGCTGCTTTGGGGTGGCGTAAAAATATTTAAAATAAATAAATGAACACTAGCAGGAATATAGTAAGGAGCCAACAGATTGGCTGCGATCTAATAGTAACTTGTCGATAGAGCAAGCACATTGAATCAGTGGGGATTTAGTGGATCAGCTCCTTCTTAAGTTCAATAGCTCTAACACAAGTTGCAATTTACTACTGGATCACAGCCATTATCTCCTAGTACAAACTAGAATACTTCAGTTATGTAACAAGAAGCATACACATTGTGACAGCTGACCATTTAAAGTAAAATAAATGACAGAAGAAGAGCAAGAAGAACCTGAAGCAGAAATCAACATTATCAATAGTCCATAATTAGAGCCAAAGCCTTGTTAATATTGGAAGGAGGCAGGTTGCCAAACCAGACTTCAAAGAAATGTTGCATGTTATGCGCTTCTCGTTGGAACTAACTTATATCAACGCTGATAGAGCTTTCAAGGTAAATAACATACGTAAGGAATACAGTGGTGCCAATGGCAGATTAATATTCATAGGATAATAATAAAGGGGTTTCAGCAAGTGAATGAAAATCTTAGCAAAATAGAAGATTTGATGAAAGGGATGAAAGAGGGGACAGTAGATGCCAAACAAAACTTAAATGAAGCTGTACAAACTTTAGAACCGTCTGTACTAGGCATGACTCCAAGTAGAGAGTTACCCAGTGACCCATGCAGCTTCCAAAATTAAAAAGCATTATGTTAAAAATCTTAAGGAAGCAGAGATACTGAAACCAGAGAATCTTATGGTGAAAATATGGGAAGTCGAAAAAAGGGATATTTTGTCAGATGGGCTGAAAGACTGTTTAATTCAAAAGGAAACTGAACGATGGGATCTATGGTATAAATGGCAGCAGCTACCAGACAGTGTTGGAGTAACATAGAATAAAACTAAAATTAAATGATAAGATAAAAGCAGGAGGGTAATCAAACGGTGAAAAAGCAAAAAGTTGATTTGTATTTGTAATATGAATTAATTGGATGATGGTAGATTTTATGTTCTCCTATCCCCCAAACCCTTTTTCCCTTTTCCCTATTCCCCCCTTATTTTCTGTACTTTCCATCCCTGTTCTTAAATAAATACTTAAACATGAAAAAAAAAGGAATACAGTGGTGCCCTGCTTGACGATTACCCCACTCCATGACGAATCCGCTTTACGATGAGGTTTTTGCAATCAATATTGCGAGGCAAAACGATGTTTCAATGGGGAAAATTCACTTTACGACTATCGGTTCCCTGCTCTGGGAACCGATTCTTCGCTAAACAACGATTTAAAAACAGCTGATTGGCAGCTCTTAAAATGGCCGCCCGCTGTGCAAAATGGCTCCCTGCTGTGTTTAGGATGGATTCCTCGATTAAAAGGCACCGGAAAATGGCTGCCCTATGGAGGATCTTCGCTACACAATGAGGTATTTCGCCCATTGGAACGCATTGAACTGGTTTTCAATGCATTTCAATGGGTTTTTTACTTTCGCTTGACGATGATTTCGTTCTACAGCGATTTTGCTGGAACGGATTATCATCATTAAGTGAGGCACCACTGCAGTTTTACCAGTTCCACACCTCTGGTAAGTTTCCATGGCTGAGCAGGGATTTGAACCAAGGTCTCCTGAGCTCATCTCTCTACACACTACACCAAGGGTCCTCAACCCCTGGTCCGCAGCCTTGGCAGGACTGGGCCACAGAGACAGATCTCCCGCCCCCAGCACGCACTCCCCCCCACATGTCAACCTGCACGTACACGTGCCCTGGCTACCTACGTATGCGCACAAGCGTGCCCTGCCCAACCCATGCATGCATGTGTGCACCCTGCCCTCCCACGAGCGCCTCCGCCCATCCACGCATGCGCACGAGTGCACCCTGCCCATCTGTGAGTGCACCCTGCGGCATCCACACATGTGCACGGACCCTCCCTTCCCAACCAGTCCACAGTTCGGAAAAGGTTGGGGACCACTGCACTACACCACACTGGGTGCTCCTTCAAAGGATCACCATGCTTACATTCTGAAGGTCAGTCACAAAGCAGAGCAAGCTAATTTGCACACTATAATTTTGTTTTTGCCTTTCTTGGCTTAAAAGTCTTGTCCACTTATTTGAATGCAACACAGTATAGCCAAGTACCGACCAGTGGTGGATTTGGCTAAGGACAGGTTCTCAACAAGTCTCAAAAAAAGAAAAAAAGAAAAAAATATCCCCCTCATTGCCCCCTCATGTCCCTTCCCACCCCTAGGAGGAAATGTTCTATATTATTTTAAGTTTTTATAAGTGGTGCATTTCATCAGCACAGCCCTCATACAGTCTAATGTTCTTTCACTTTTTCCCTCCACAGAGCAGAGGAAGTGTTTAATTTGCCAATATCATGGCTGTCTTCTTAAGCCATTTCACCACATAGAAAATTCCAAGCAGAAGGAGCTGGACTAAATAGGGTTGCTTGAGGTTGGTATGCCATTTAGATGCAAGGAGTATACCAAATAGCATATTGTACCTCTACCAGACCCCCAAGTGACTCTGTTTAGCCTGCACCAACCTATTCCAAAAAAAGCCTGTGTACTTTTTTGGCTGTCTGCCAAGCTTGGTGTGTTTTGTCTATCTGTAAATAAGCAAATATTAATGCTGCAAGTTCCCAGTATTCTCACAAGGAAACCGACCTTTTAATAGTCTGCTTTGAAATGTACTTCTGCTTAAGGAGGTAGTAAGTATGTGTTCAACTAAGTGCTTTCTTCCTTTCAACATAAAAATCACTTTTTTCCCCATTAATCCCCCAAAAGATTTGTCTGGGAGCAATTCTCCTGTCACATTATCTGACTCAGCTTATGTAACAACTGTTTGTGTAGAGAGCAATTTGTTTGAAGGAGACTGCATTTCTGCTCATTAAAGGGCAAAATGTTTCCAGAACCAGGCAAGAACAGTTGATATAAAGCAACTTTTATAGAGTCAAAAGCTGCACGACCATTAGGAACTGAGTCAGCGAGTGGATTCTATCCAAGGCACCTCCCTCTCTGATGGGAAGAGTGACGAGAAGGAAATCGTGTGGGAATGTTAGCTTCTTAAGACAACAATGAAATACAAAACAACAAAACACTTCAGGAAGAAAAAATTTCAAGGCACATGGGAGAAATGCCAGTACAGGGAACAAAATGAAACTGCTTGCTGAACAAAGTTGGGAATAGAATATTTATTTTTCAGCTTGTTGTTATTCTGTGTCATCAAATTGGTAGCAACTTATAACAATCCCAACATGGCTTTCAGGGTACTGTATGTGGATATTTAAGAAGTGGTTTTACCAGTTCTGCACCCCTAGTGAGTTTCCATGCTGAGTGGGGATTTGAACCCAGGCCTCCTGAGTCCTAGTTTGTCATTCTGTCCGCTATACCATGCTGGGTATCTACATTTTTTATTTTCCTACATAGTTATTTATTTGCCTATAACATCCAAAACCCTAACATTGGGCTAAATCCGACCTTGCATTGGAGGTTGTTGTAGAACTTCTCACAGTGCCAGCATGATTTAAGCATCTGCATAGGGCTGAGATCATGCTCATTTTAAAGGAAATATATTGATTATTGTGTTATGTATTGGCGTATGAGTGCATGTATGTATGATGATATGAGTTTGGAATATTACTTTTTTAAAAG